AAAGTATCGAAAAAGTATCGAAATCGCAATTCTTGACTTGGTATCGGTATCGAAACAATAATTTCGGTATCGTGACAACACTATTCTGCACAGACCAGCTCAACAGCAATTTTCATGGTTTCTTGATAGAAGTGCACACAGACCAAGGTTGAAGTTCAGTTTTACTCTTACGTTCCTGTTCATGCTTTCTGATATCAGCTCTACTGTATTTTACTGATCACATTCAGCTGTGTAAAACCAGCCTTTACATTTTAGTTTTTCATCAGTGAACCAGCAGGAGTATTTCTCACAGTGACAGAGTTAGCTGGACTTTGTCAGCAGTGCTATATCCGATAAAAATTGGTCTACACAAGAAATACTTGGGGCTATTTGGTCAGCGGATCAGACAACAGGCTTTAGTTGGTGCCAACCAGCACAGCTATCAAGGCAAACAACTTTTGCCAACTGCGTGGTCGGCTCTTCAAGGGGCCACCAGGGGGCATCACTTGCATGAAAGCATCTTAATGTCTTCTTATGATTGTGCAAAATGGAAATCTATTGTAATGCTAGAATTATGTTATGTAACATTTTACAAGTTGAGCGGGAATTCAAGTTTTAAAAACTAAAAGTCTGTCATCGGCTGTAGGGTAGGGTTTAAGTTAGCTAAGGGTTACGGTTACCCTAGCTAACCCTAACTGAATATTTTCATTCTTCATTCAGCCATGGACTTAAGAAAGTGGTTGAGCAGCTCAACAGCAATGAGCTCTCGGCCAAGGATTGATGATGTCACTTCATTTGAATCGTTGGAGTTGCTGTCAGTGTCGTGGCTACTACTAGCCCTCCCCTTAAGGCTATATCCGGGCTGGATTTAGGAGAAGATGGGCCTAAACATGTCAGTCTCAATACCTATCCCATGAGCCTGTTTGGGTGGAAGAAGATATTTTTTCCTGCTGCCTTGCACCAGAGGAGGGACTGGCTGAAGTACTAAGCGCATGTGGCTTTCAGTCATTTGGGATGCTTTTTGTTCAGTGTAAAATGTGTATGTTCTTGCTTTTTATGTACACCTAAGTAATTCCTCCTTGTGTTTTTGCCCGATTATTAGGGCCACAATGCACTATTTTTGTGATTTTCTTCTTAAAATGTTCTCCTAGGGAGCCTACCATGGTTTCACTTTCACTATACAAACCTATGTTGCCACTTTCACTTGGAAAAATGGTTTCTCACAACTCGGGGTGAAAGAGGGCTATAGATGCACACCAAAATATAGATATCTGATTCTTACCAACAGCTGCTTGACGGCTGTATACCTGTAACCATCAGCTGCAGGATCACATCTGCAGACCTGTAGGGACTGCAGATGTGATCTGTGTATGGTGCATAATTGTGTCTTACCTTCAGTAATTATTTTAATCTTCTGACACCACAGCAGAATCACACTGCAATTGATTTGCAGTGGGGTTGTACACACTTATCAGCTGTTCCACACAGATTCCAAGTTGAGACAGCAAGATAATTTGCAGTACAGTGGCTTTGACTTTTTTTTACACATCTCCAAACCTCCATTTCCTCTGGATCATCAAAATAAATTCTGTGGTGTCAGCAGGATTATTACTGCGAGCTCTCAGTTTATGTAAAAGGCCACTTCGCTACTCACATTGCAGTGCATATGCAAATGTACCCTCATATGACCGGAATGCACCCAACTGGACAGTGTGTGTTTATTTGGCTGTATTGGTTTGTGTGTGGTTTGTATATATTATACATACATCATTTACAGTATGTACTGTATGTCTTTTGTTGTATTTGTAATGGCTGCTGCAAGACCAATAAAACCAAGTGAGCTTTTTTTGTCAGTTTTTTCTTTTCCTTTTGAGTACATGAGGTAGAAATATTCATAAGGCAGGGCAGCATGGTCCATTTTTGTAGCCTATATGTTTACATTCTGGAACTTTGGAAGCATTAAAAGTATGCTAAATTAGCTACTAGCAGTTCCAGTTTGCAGTGCACCCATGGATGCACAGACTGCCACAAACTATCACTGCATTACTTTGATACTGAAGAAATCTTAAAATTGTGATGATTCTCAGGCAAATTCTGGACTTATAATGAGCATCTTTTTTTATGATTTATTAGATGTCTGTTTGCAATGGACATCAAAGACAATGGTATCCTTGTAAAATGTAAGTCATACTGAACCTAAAAGAAATAACCATGTCCGTTCACATTTGACTGAGTTATGACTCCAAGGACAAACTGAGGCAATCTACAGCTGCAGCTGCAATTGCTGACTGTGTTGATAAGCAGCCAAAATTTGCCATTGTTTTCAAGGCACCAGTACACACCTGTGCCTTTCAGCTCATATCTCTCCCTCTGCGCACCTTCAACTTTCCCTCAGAGGGGGGCCTTACATTTTGAAAACCTCTGGGGGTACTGTACTGTATATTTATGTGTGTCCCAGAGAACAGTAGTCTCCAGCTTGGACTCTGTGCCTGCTTTTTTATGATTATTATCATCATTAGTATTATTCATTAGTCATAATTTGCATTATTATTAGTCATATTATTTTCATAATTCATCATCATATTGGTCATATTTCTATACTATTATAGTTGTTACGGTTGCTATTGCTGTGCATATCTGTCTTTCTCTCTCTACCTGCCTCTGTCCCTAACCTCAACTGATGAAGCCAGACGGCTGACCAATTAGAGCCAAGGGTCTTGAACTATCTGCCTGTTAAAGGGATGTTTTTCCATGTCACTGTCGCCAGGTGCTTGCTCATGGTCAGCTGTTGGGTCTCTGTAAATAAGCCCGTAGTACAGTGCGTAGACCTGGTCTATTCAGAAAGAGTCCTAAGAAAACTTCTGTTCGGATTTGGCACAGTATAAATAAAAGTGAACTCAATTGCATTGTAACTAACCATGGATGTATGTGCGTGCTACATAAATTAACGTAATTACGTAGCAGGTTGAGATTGAAATAAAATATTATAGGAAATGTAAAAACTTATTTTAGATCACATTTTAGTGATGTCATAGTTTAGGTACTCAATATATCAGTACTATATGATTTATTAGATTTATTTATATTATTTTTAAAAATATTTCAGAGATTCCTCCACATACCATATCATTTGAGAAGTGCTCCAAAGTATTCCATAAATTTCATGACCAGACTGTAAACAGGGGAGACTTAAATGAGTTGGGAACGCATTTGTAGATGACATCAATCAGTAAAATGAGGCCAGATCACCGGAGAGCAACCGTTGACTGATGGCAGTGTCGCAGTTGAAATGTGTGTCAGAATAAACAGCCATCAGTCATTTGCAGGGTGAAGGAAGTTGGAAAATCAGCCAGAAATGTTAAATGGTTTACGTAGGCGACAGTTGTCTCAGTGCGACCAGGCAACATGTTCAAAAGTTAGTCTTGAAATTTGATGAAATGTCCTGACATATGGCAGTTTCATTTTTGAAGCAGTTTGTTGAAGTGATGTTGTTGTGACTCACCCGGGACAGGACAACCTCTAAGGTGATGTTCTGAGGAGGAGCGCTGGGTACTGCAGAGACAAACACAAAAACTGTGTAAATAAGTTATTCATGATATAAAACTGTATGCTTACAGACAACTTTGACTCAATGTAAATGTTGAGATGCACTGTGCAAAGCAATCTGTGGTTGCCTCATTGAAGTTTTCTTTTGCTGTTAATTTTGAAAATAACATTTTACAATTTTTCCAATGCTCTTAGGCTTCTCAAATCTGAGGAAACAATCTGGGAAGGTAAAACAGAGGCCAGACGGATACCAATTTTCTTTTCCTAGGATGGCAAAGGGATGACCCGCCCTACTCTGCCTCTGATTGGCTAGTAGTTGTTAAGGCATAAGGAGCGAGAGTGGAAAGGCAGACTAGGGCATTTCATTCCATTGCAATGCTAGGAAAATAAATAGTGCAGTGATATGACTTCTACATCACAGAAATGAAAGGAACACTTTGGGATTTACCCTAATCTACTGAATCACACACTTAAGACGAATATCAGTTGTTGAAAGCTGTATTTTCTTTTTTGTTGAAGCTAAGCTAACACTTAAAATCGCCTAAAATCAGTTGGTTGTATTAATAGTTTTCTATAGTGCGAGTGTGTTGGCTGCGTGCCGGGCTGACTCTGTTTGCTGTCACCTCACTGCTGTCAATCAATCATCCTGATGACATCAGCACAGACAGGAAGGAGACGGAGCGACGATGTGACAGCATTCAGCCTCCGAGATCTGAGTGCGTCAGTATACAGCAAAGCAAGATTACCACCGCATGCATGACAGGTGTCAACACACACACACACACACACACACACACACACACACACACATACACACTCTTCATCCCTCTGAACCGTCAGGACATCAGACTGATTCAGAAATCAGTCCTGGTTTCTTTTATTTCTTTGAGTTTTTAATGATCTGACTTTAAATCACAGACAACGAGACTCTCAGTAAGCATCACAGCAGGAAATGATCTAAAACAGACAAACAAAAATAAATAGGAGGATGGAGAAAACAAACAAGATAAAGATAAAGAAGATGCTGAGGAAGGAGGGTAAAAGATGAATAAGATGAAAGAGAAAAAATAAAGAAGAAAGCTGAGGAAAACAAAATGGAGAGGAAGATGAAACAAAGGAAAGAAAAAACATGAAGACAGAGCATAAGACAGAAAGTTAAAAACAGGAAGAAAATGAAGATTCTGAAAAATAAAGATAAAGACTGAGCAGAACATGATGGAGAAAAAGAAAAAAAAACGTGAAGATTTCAACAAAGAAAATGAAACAAGACAAAAGGAAGGCAAAGAAAGAAAACAAAGAAGACGGGGAGCTACAATGTGAAAACAAAGAAGATGAAATATGAAAAATAAGAAAATGATGACGGCAAACATACAGATGGAGTCAGTGAATAGCAGGAGGAAGAGGACGGACGGGGCGATGATGAAGAGGCAGCAGAATCAGAGACCAAGTGTTCAAATTGAGAATCAAAGTGTTTTGGTTTGAATGAACTCTGCATCTGTCCACGCAGACGCCTGATTAACTGTCAGCAGCTTATCTATTGATTCAGCTGCTCACTGACTGAGTTTGTGTGTGTGTGTGTCAGTTTTATTGTGGATTCAATTAGCCCACAAGTCATTGTTATCATGGAGACGCAGCCGGAAGATTCACAATACAGCCACTTTGCATCTGTGTGTGTGTGTTATTTCAGATCAGTTTTATTTATTTATGCTGTGATTGCAGCTGGACCGATGCCTCCATTCTCTCTCACTATAACACACTGAGCACCAGTCAGCAGCTCAAGTTCCATTCCGAGGAGATATTAAAGGGAAACTTTGCCAGCTTTGTATTATTACAATGTGGGTAGTATATGCAAATGACCAGGCATTACCTTCCGTCCATGTTGCCTGCACACAGACCTCTCTCGATCCGACAGTCCGTGGCGGCGGACAGACAAAAAATGGAGAAGTGCAAACTGTAGTTGGAACAACTGCCCTAGAGCTACCGACAGTTGGATGGAGAGAGGCACGACGCGTCATCTGACAGACGTTTGCCGGCACTTTTCAATCATACACATACAGGGCTTCTAGATACAAACGTGGAGAGATCGTGGAGTGATGGGAGGCTCCCACTGTTTCTTTTTATCTCATATATCTTGATCTGTTCATGTTGCGTGGCTGTTTGTTACAAATTCTTGTTGTTCACATGTGGACCAGAGTAAACAAACACCATGTTTCCCTCCAAACGACATGCAAAGTATGACCGAATTTGCAGTAAATCGTCAAAAGAAAATGCAAATGAGTGCCGGTTCCCATCGACTGCTGAGTTCTTCCCACACATGACAATATTAAATACTGAGCTCTCAGTTTCTGGCTCTCTCTTTGTGTCTGTGTGTGTATGGACTCGATTAGTGTGTGAGGCTAAGAGGCTAAAATGAAGCAGCTCCTTCCTCATCCCCCTGCTTAATTAAAGACCCCTGAGTCCCCTAATGAAACTCCTGACAGCAGGAGAGAGAGTGTGTATGAGAATGTGTGTTAGGGAGAAAGGGATGAAGTGTGCTCACACATACACAAATGGTGTCAGGTAATAGGCAGCGCCTGGTCCAGCAGTTCTCTGGTCTTAGCTGAATGGCTGCAGAGCTTCAAACTGGGACTAGTTCAAACCAGTCACACACCCTAAGTGCATTTTAGCTTTCTGGACACTGTGTGCTTTGAAACATCAGCTGCATGCTTATTTGTTTTGTTAGTCTTATTGATTTTTTTACACCCTTAATTTAAGGAGTTTTACTCTGAAATGTCGTGTGGTCAATATTTGGGAAAATATGACGACCTGAACCTTGACAACATACAATAACTAAAGATGCTAATGCCACTTATCTCGGATTTTACTGAACTGGGAGAAAAGGCATTAATCGCGTATTGATCTCTTTGGCAGAACTCGGTTTGTGTAAACATGGATTATATTCAGTGATAATCTTCTCATTTTAAAAACACCCAAACACTGTCACTCCTCTTCTGATTGTCTTCCACGATTAAATCTCACGTCTGGCTCTCTTTTCTCTTTCAAGGTCCGCAGATATGCTATCATTATCACGCTGTGATGTTATCTGGGCCATAGCGATGGGTGTTATTATGTGTAAGTTTCTATTTTCTTGAAGTTCAAAAGTGAAAAGTAGACCGTAGCTCAGATATTTCATATCCTGTGGTGTAAATTATATAACATGCTAAACCAGTTGAGTCAGACACAGTTACATCAAGAAATTACCCATTTATAGGAAATGGTTGCACAGCCAGATCTGGTAGGAAAAGGCTCTGCTCTTTGATGGAGCTGTCAAAGAATCCGAACAGCAATGAGAATTCTGCTGAGGGAACTAAATCTCCCATTATACACCTTTTTCACAGGGTAAACACAAGTGTTACCAAA